TGTGAGGTGGACAGCTACCCACAAGGGACAAGACTAAGAAGATCTACATCTCCCTTATAAAAGTCTTTAACGTTCAGGTGGTTGGGATGCTCACCTGGGATGTGGGAAACCAAGGCTCGAGGCCCTGGCTCCACATCAGAGTGGGGATTTGAAAACAGGCCTCCTGTATCTCAGATGCATGCCCAAACCACTGACCTACTGTGTATTCTTATGAGGGATGGGCACACATTGCTTTTCCCCTCCTCTCCTCACCCCAAAAATGTCCTGATCTGTTTGCCCCCAGCTGTCTTGAAGGGGGTTAGGTGTGCTCGGAGCATACCTCTTGAAACAGGCCCCAGAGGCAAGAGAGGCAGGGAATACCTTGCTTGCAGTGAGCAGCTTGGTGGTATCGTTACCTTAGGTGCTTTTGCACAGGCCCCGCGGCAGAAACTTAGGCACCTAGGGAGCTTAGGTGGGTACCGGGTTAGGTAGCATCTGAGCAGGGGTTTTGAGGATTTCAGTGGCACCTAAGTGTTGGACTTAAGCATCTAAAGGGGCAGTTAGGCACCTAAGTCCCTTTGTGGATCTAGCCTAAAGTGGCTGTATCAATGTCCAAATACCTGGTCCCTTGAGTCTGTGTGTCCAGATGTGAAAGGCCACTATACTAAACTGGTGCCCATGTCCAACATATGTATTGTTCATTATTAAATATTGTAAACTTGTAGTTATACCTCACTTTTTTTTTTAAATGTTGCTCTTATTGGCAATGGTATTCTAAACTGGTGGTTTTCCAGAGCCAAATTAACTGAGTACACTTTTATACATATTCTTATAGCAGACCCTTGCAGTTTTACTGTGTTGTGCTGTACTGTGAACTCTTTGCAAGGACTGTGCTTTACTAATTAAAGAGCTATAATCTATCCTCATATTCTGGCTGTCAGCGAAGTCCAGTTGTACATAATACACTGCCTTTCTGTGTGATCATCTCTCCCTCTAGTGTCTTGCCCAGGGAAGTATAGTAGCCTACTGACTTAAAGTTAATAGAGTAGAACCTCAGTTACGAACACCAGAGTTACGAACTGACTGGTCAACCACACACCTCATTTGGAATCACAGTCAGGCAGCAGCAGAGACACCCTCCCCCCCCAAAAAGGCAAACACAGTACAGTACTGCGTTAAACATAAACTACTGGGAAAAAAAAAAAGATTTGACAAGGTCTGGAAACTCTGTGCTTGTTTCATTTAAATTAAGATGGTTAAAAGCAGCATTTTTCTTCTGCATAGTAAAGTTTCAAAGCTGTATTAAGTCAATGTTCAGTTGTAAACTTTTGAAAGAACAACTGTAATGTTTTCTTCAGCGTTACAACCAATCTCCATTCCCGAGGTGGTTTAGCACAAGCAAAAGATGCATGTTCTTTAAGGATGAAATTTACCCCAGTGCAGAGATCCTGTGTAAGGTATACGCATGCCCACTGCACAGGAGTGAACTTTATACTAGTGCTGAAGGTCCCAGATTCAGTCTCCATTGATGATTATGGTGTCTGGACATATGCACCCATGGTTTATTACATATACAGATCCAAGAGCAGAATTTAGCCACCAAAAAGTTTGAGGACCTGTTTGGTATTTAGAGCCATGTCATCAACTTGCCCTGCATTCCTTGCCAAGATCTCTCCAAACATGGTTGTCTTACCATATCATATCAGTGAATGCATTTGAAGCAACTTAACTGTTTGTTGCAGGCATCCAAAAGTTTGGTGACAGTACAGCTTGTTCAGGCCACTGTGGCCAAACATGCAGGTTCTGAAATTCACAGATCATCTCTAGGTTGGCAGCATCAGCTGTTTTATTTTTTTTTCTGTAACATTTAGTGTGAAGCACAGGAATGGAAGTGTCTGGTCAGTGAAATGGTCCAGAAGATGATTTTTAAAAATAAAGGGCTTGGTTAGTGATCTTACTCCCATTGAAGTCAGTGGAAGATTTGTCATTGATTTAAGTGAAAGGATCAGTAGTAAAATCAATATTAGATTGTTTGTGCAGTGACATTTGTTTTATGGTAACCTACGTGTGGTGGGTAAAGCGTTTAGTGTTCACTCCGTATAACAGCTATCTGATGGTGCTTTTACTTTATTAAAGTCAGAAGAAATTCTTTGCTTTAGAGCAGTTAGGCCAGATTGAAGTAACAATACAATATATTTGCTAAATAAATTCTAACTCTGTATTTTGAAAATATAAATTTTTTTTCAAGAAACCAGCTACCTTTTAACAGACAAGATGTCACTGTACTAAACATTAGGAAGATACTGGTGATACATGAGTGTTTTTCACATGGATGGGGAAAAATCAGCATTTTTCTTTTAAAAAAAAACCCTCAGCCTTCCATTTTCTAAAATAGGTTTTAGGCCTTAATCTTGAAAGTTGTTCTGCAGCAGTCTACCAGTCCAGAGTAACATCTAGGATCAGGACCTTAAAAAAGTAGTTTTGGAAAATGGAAGGTTCAGGTTTTTATTAAAGCAACAGGCAATTAATGTTACTAGTAGCTTGAGGTTTAGCAGACATGTAATATAGCTGCTAATCTTTAATGGTGGTTAAGTTTGTAATTATCTTTCCAAATCTAAAGACTGGAACCTCATGGGACGTTTACATTCTAAATTAAGCATACTTTTGTATATTGAATTACTAGGTTTGTTTATATAGCACTGAAGGACTTGGTTTTTCTGTGTCATATACAAAAATTTCATTGAGCAGGACCTCTGAACATGGAGTATATATAGAAGCAGCTATTACATGAGTATCTTAGGTACAGTAAAATGTACAAGGTCAGAGCAACTGAAGCTTATCAAACTATAAATATGATTGTGACCACCACATTAGAGGCCTTTGGAGGAAAAAGGTTTGAATCCTACTTTTAGAAGAGGCTAGTTTCTTGTATCTTCCTGAGGTCAAAAGGGGAAAAAGTCCATATTCCTTGAGCCACAGAGGGAAAGGGGGACAGTATTTCCCCGCATTTACAAGTCCTAGGGTCCAACAGCTCTATCCCTTGAACCTTTGGAGGTGCATTAGTTTATAGGGAAACAGCTGCTCAGAAATCCAGTTCAGTGTGTATTCTACACAGGTAATTCATAATAAATCACTAAGCAGTTATGGTTAGATTCTTTATCAATCTAAATGCAGAATCTATGCAGCCATAACACATTGGTTTCAGTTAGTGGTCAAATATTGGTCCCGAACAGACAATCATGTCTGTCTGAGTAGAGTCTAAGTACAATACCACTTTTTAAAGACTATCACACAGGGAACATCCCTTTAGAGCGTTAGTGTTCAAAAGCCAAATGTCTGAAGTTTTTGTTCTATATTGAATCAATTCAACTCTCCTTGCTACACTACTCAGATTATACAGGTGAGAGATGTGAAATATGGACAGTTTACCAAGGCTGGTTTTACCAATAAGACCTAGTTCTTGGCTAGTTTCAGGACCATTCCCTTTTTAAATTTATTATAATGAGACTTTTGGGATCCCTATGACTCTACTACTGTAGTGGATTGAGGAGCAGGGGCTGGGGGTATGCAGCAGCGTACTTTAGAAGTAATAATACAAAGACTAGTATTGCAGTTAGAGATTGTAGAACCATGGCTGGCTCTGTTATATGGAAGAGTGCTCAGGAAAAATGCTTACACTTTTTTATGATTGTGCTGTTTGGGTTGTTAAAAACCTATCTGATCAGTGCAGTATTTTCCTACCTTTTTGTGCATTATAAGAGCAGAGCCTGAGGTATGTATGACAGTAACTGAACCACACTGTCTAAACAAGTAGTGTTTACTTTGCTAAATCATCATAGCCAAGATTCTCTTTATGCTTTATAAAGTTTGCAGTTGCTTTTCATTCAAAACCAAAAGCACTTAAAATTTGTATTTTTATTTCAGAAATCTAAGTTGTGAGAGAGAGGTTTTCACTATAGCTTTAAGGAACACTGCAGACAAAGCATTACAAAGAGTCCTGGGTAAGCCAGCAGATTACATTTTCCTTATTTTACATAGTGAGTCAGCATGAATGTACTACCGACACCTTAAATGAACTTTTAAAAGTCTGGCTATTAAGAATCAGTCAGATTAATGAAGATTGCAGAAAGTAATGTAATAAGTAACTACAGTCACAAGGCTAGAAATAGTGAGGTTTTAGCTATAAAGTTAAAAACACAACAATTATGCTCAGTTGGGTTTAGTTTATTCTACTTGATATATTCAATACATTGCAGCATTTGCTTGTTTTAAGGATGCAAAATAAAGCCCCATAGTTGAAGGTGAGACAAACTATAATAGCACAGTTTATATTCTCTCGGGCGATTAGAAAATTACTTTATCAGGCATCTACAGAAAAACAATCTAAAACCACATGGGCCTGTTAGAGATTATAATCCCTTTTTGATTATCAGAGGCCCAACATGTATTTATAAACTAGTTTACAGTTTTCATATTTTAGAAAACATGGACCCCACTACACAAGGAAATAAGATAAAATCCATATATCCTTGCCTTGTGGAAAGTATGTTTCCCTTCCATCACAGATTACTACTAGTATACAAACATGGTTTTTCAACCTTTGAAGTGCAATTTTTTTTTTAAATAGCATCAAGTAGATCACTTTAACAAGCAGCATTCAGAGGAACACATTTCAAATCCCTCCCAAATCATATATTCTACTTCAATAGGAAAAGCTACAATTTTCCTATAAGGATCCAAAATGTCACTCAGCCTCAATCTCCTTGACATCAGTGGGAATTTTGTCTAAGTAGTGCAGCATTGAGTCCCATGTTTGCAGCTTCTGGGTTTTATAATTTAAGTAACATATCTGATATAGACAGAAGATTAGGAATTCAGTGTTCACATCCTATTTAGTTTACCCTCAATCAGTTTCTAGTTCAAGTTTGTGTCGTACATTATGTGCACTGTGAATCCAGACTTCAAGCATAATTAAATTCAGTTTAAATTACTCCAACTTTTAAAAACGAACTATATCAAGATAAATGAAACAGGTGATTTAATACAATTTTCTGTAAATCTACTGTACATTTTCTTTAGTACTGTACTAATAGCAGACATAAAACAATGCCAAAACTGGGTACAGGCAAAGAATATATGCAGTCTGTGGTCTTCATTAAAATGGTTCATCCTGCAATGCACCTAGTCAGTTTAAGTATTTACTATTTGTATTTGAAGGTACGCAGTCAATGAATCCCAGTAAAATGTCTAAACACTTAAATCTGCAAACTCTACTGGAAGAATATACAGGTGATAGATACAGTGGTAATTTTACATTGTGAATGCTATTTTCAATACACTAGAATAAAACTATAAATACTAAACATTGTTTGATGCATTTTTGTGCACACCACCTCTGTGAGAATATGTATGGTCCTAAAGGATGTTTGACCTGCTTCATCTGCGTCATTTGCAAGGCCAGTAAGTTCATAAACAGGGTCATAAGAAATCTTAGGCTGAAGTTTACACTTCATTTCTATCAGAAGATGTTAAGGGGACAGAGTTGTTTGGGTCCTACATTAAAATTGACTGATGGTGTAAATTCATACGATTATTTTAAACTCCCCTCTTTTATAATCAGGTTTGTTTTTAAAAATAGCCAACATTTCCGTTGAAATAACATGACAAGCAGTATTACACATTTTATGCTTCTAGTAATAAATACGTTCAAATCTGTTTAGAAACGGGAGAAGCAAGAAAAATGTCTAAGTTACTAAGAGGCTGTTTCAAATTAAATCATCAGTTTTGTAACTAAGTTACAATTTCATGTTGAATAAACTGTGTATAAATCTACATTTCTGAAGGCAAAAGCTGTGCAATCGCTGATCAGTGAACCCTGTCAGGCACAAAAGTATCTTGCTTGGAGAAAGTTACTTACTTTTCTCTTATTGTCATACCTATTTTTGCAGCTGCAGCCATCTGCCTTGCATCAGCTTTTTGAAGACTGAAGTCTTTTGTGATTCCACCTAAAGTATTCTTTTAAAAAGCAATATTAACCACTGTCCAACTACACTGAATATCAGCATTCATGGGGCAAACACTCACTATTAAATAAACGTTCGTGTCATGGTAGGTTTAAAATAATAAGCTGTTTTTGTAAGTGAGAATTTTTCAATGTATGCCCAGTCATTGGACAAGATGATATATACAAGTTGAGCATGTTCCTTCCCACCCAACTATAGTAAAACTCCCAACTATAGTAAAACTCATATCAAATCATAAGTGGATCCCAGAAGTTTAGTTGTTGCAGTTTTGCAGTAATTTCTAGTTCTAAAATTAGAATAGCACTTCCTCCCTACCATATTTAAAGAAGACATTACCTATCTTTAGAATTTCATTAAACTATACAAGCTAGTTTAAAAAAATAAAACACACAACCTTGAATTGAATCACAGTGAGCACCCTTCTAGAACAAAATTCAAAATACTGGGGTCTACAGTTTGTGGTGGTGAACACAATTTTCTCCCCTAAATACTAAAGTGTAATCTTAGTCTTAAATTAACCTGTAAGATATCATGTATGGTTATACAAAGTTATCAAAATTCAACATTGATCATAGTACACATTAAAAAATATTGATGAAACCTCATTCTTGGTACTAGTAGTGGAGTTATTTTATACCTATTCTACATTTGTCTCTAAGAGACAATTTAAAAGACAAATTAAATGTAAATATCCTATCATTAGCTACAGTATGAGTAGAAGTAAAGTGGCAGTGCTCTGTCATTCTAGATGTACAGGATGTCACTGTTGTATCTTTGGTATGTGATAGATTTTAGATGTGTCAAGAATAATAAATGTGTTAATGCACTTGCAGATTCTGTATTGTCTACCAGAAGCATAAACTACTGGAAACATGGCCTTGCTGATATGACTAAGACAATAAAATACCCGTCTTTACATAAAAAAAATCATTTGTTTTCTTGTGTTAAGATTCCTGTTAGAAAAATGTCTAGAAATATTTCCAAATTTTTATTTTAAACTCTGAACCAAACAGTTCATTTTGCAAATGAAAGTTGATCTCAGCATTTGAAAGCCATTTCAACTGACAAGTTTCACAGCAAATCTCATTGCTTATTTTCCCTGCCTGGATTCTGGCAGGTGTGGAGATGAGCCTATTAGTGCATAAATTTTGCTGTCCTATTTTGCATAGTAACTTGAAAGTAAGTTTATTTGAACTAAGTTACACTGCTGTAGATCTGGCCCTCTATCTTAATATACTGAGAACACTGTTACCACTAAAATAATGCAGCTTTCTGAAGCCATTAAGGCAATTCTATAAAATATATATATAGGCACCTAAAAAAGCAGCCAGATTTTCTGAAGTGCTGAGTATCTAGAAATTCTGCTGATTTCAGTGAAAACATAGGAGCCTAAAATTAAACAGCTAATTTTGAAAATCTTGGCACAATATTTCTAAAGGAATCATTAGGGTTGACTAAGCAAGCAACTTTGAGCATCATGCAGTGCAGAGGAGGAGTTCATGTGTTGATGGGGGCCCAGGATGAGACATTCCCTAGAGTAGGCGGGGTACCCATCTGAAGGAAAACAGATAGCACTTTGCCCCAGGATCTAGGTTTGTGGGACAGTTCTTTGAGAAAAAAGGGGTGCTGCTCCTGCGGTTCCATAAGACAACAGATTCCTGGGGAGGTGGCAGGAAACTCAGGCAGGATGACCCCATACTTGCAGCAGACTGTTCAGAAATGAACCAGATGGGTGGAGTGAGCAGAGTACTGTTACCATATAATCTAAATAATTCTGGAATAAAAAAGGTGCAACGAAGTCTCATTCTCAATTTAAAAACACCATACTGAAAACCCTCTAGAGATATTCTGCTGTTTTAATTGTGCCTCGTAATCAGGGTAGTCCCCTAAGCCTGAGTGATCCTTTCTAAAACCCCATTTCCTTGTTCTACAAAACTCAATTTACATACTTTCTACAGTGCAATTCAAACCAAGAGGCCAGGACAAAACAGTCAGCTTTTGACAGACCTATATTAACATGGGATCATTAGCAAATGAGTGAAGTGTCTGTCAATAAATCCTGCCAAAATCTCATCAATTCACTTGAAGTGATACCATGTACTGCAATCAAGTGTCTATATTTACAGATGTTAAAGTTAATTTTGTATAAAAAGAAGAGTTGTGTATCTTCTAGAATATGGATGTTCACATTTAGCATATTTAAGCAAATTCCAACATAAACATCTTCAAATTTAATAGGTTTGATATGGCTCATCATTTCATAAATCTTCAGAGCCAGTTTTCCATCAAGTATATACCCCATTCCACTACAGTATGGAGGATATACCTTAAATGGATATTCATCATAAGAAATATATGTTTTTCTGTAAAACCCTCTGTAGGAAAAGTTATCAATTAGAGGGTAACCAGTAAAAAAACTCTCTGAAGAATTTATATTTTGAAGAAACGTTACTAAGTTGCCAGGGTTGATGAAAACATCAGAATCAGTCTTCATAATGTATTTAGTATTTGAACAAAACTCAGACACCCATCTGAATGCCATGATTGTTTTCAAGGTAAGATTGTTATAAGTATCCATAAAATCTTGGCGAATTATGTCACCATACAGAATGCTCTCATCTTCTATCGATAATGCATCTAAGCTGTCTTCTCTTTCAGCTCCTTGCCCTAATAAGAACAGTACTAGAATCTGACGGTCCCCCCAGGATTTTTTAGAACCCCATGTTACTCTAATGGCCTGCCTTGCCTCTATATCCATAGGTTGTGAAGACACCAAGATGACCAGAAACGGATTTGTATCTTTGCATTTCAAACGCTCCCGCAGCGTGAAGAGGAATTTCTGCTTGTAAACTGGCTCATATTCATAGAAATACATCCAGTTTGTATGCTCTATCACAGTATGCGAAGGAAGTGTCATGTACCATGTCATTATTATGACAGAAAGCATAGAGAGTGCCAAAAAACTCCATTTTAAGTATTTCATAGACATATTCACCAGAAGCAGCTACAAGATAGATGTGTGTAGCAGAACTTCAAGAGGCTTACAAAGTCCTGGGTCAAAAATTTTGAGAGCCAGCTTCTTGCTGAAAGAAATGCAGATGGAAAAGGTTAGTACATTAAGAATGCAATTGTACTCATTTTATTATCTGCCTAAAATTGTAACTACAAAACATAGCTTGATATCATGAGGTCAGAAAAGGAAAACTACACTGGCCCTGCTAAACACTGTTCTTTAGCCACACTTATATCTTGAACACCACATACTGATTATGAATGAAGTTTGCTTGTAACTAGAGGAGTGGTGACTGATCTTATTCATGGCTTTCTCCTTGGGAGTCCCATCTACTAAAGGACCAAGTATAGAGCACTCTTAATTCCAGAGACAGTTGAGGGCTCTCAGCACATCAGCCTAGTGTTTTAGACTCATTTAAAGCTTGATGCTGGAGGGATGGTGGCACACAAAAACAGATGACTTATGGGTTTTGAGCAGTATTTAAAAAAAACACTTTAGTTAGCAATTTCTTAGAAGGTAAATAATTTTATTACATTTGTAGTTTGAGATTTTTATGTAAGCAGGAACTGACCAGGAGGATATAAACAAAAAAACAAGACAAAAACAAATGCAGACAAATATGCTGTCTCATCCCAACACAGCCGCATCTCCTCATTAACTGCATGCTCTTGGCTGAATATGCTAATGAAGAGTCAACTTCTATACAAGCAAACTGAACAAACATTAGAATTACAAACCTACATCCATAAGTATTTCAGTGACACACACCAAGCTCTTTATAATATGCTCAACACACAAAGATGGCTATTTCCTACAAAACAACTATATAATAAAAAAAAGTTTGTTTAGTTATGCACATGTTGAACTAGCCAACTACATAAAGGGACAATCTACCCAATCCTGCCAGAGAGCTTTGTCATTGACTTAAATGGGAGCAAGACTGATCCACTGTACAGTAGATCAGGTTCAAACCTTAAGGTTTGTGCCAGAAAACTTTGCAAGCTTATCATGTAAATACATACACCTCTACAATGACTTTTAGGATAGTCTGGTCAAGCCAGAATATCCTAATAACTGCATGCAATATTATGAGGCTTTGACACATACAAAACTGTGTCACTGCAATTTAGCATGTGCTTCTATGTGCATTATTTGGTACTTGCATAATGAGTATTTTTGAAAGAAATTCTAAGAGTTATGGAAAGATACTCTGAATCTCCAGTTTTGCAAATTAGAAATTGTCTACGTACACTTTGCTTTCACATTATGGCAGTCTAACTTTCCAATTAAAAATTACTTTGGTATAATGATATGTTTCAGAGCACTAGAGAGAGAGAATGTTTACCTGGCAACTGTATCACTGCTGTTTGTATTATTCCTCCATCCTCTTATTCATCTACTACACAAGAAAAGTTTCTGTGAACATTTCTCTTCTGATGGTGCCCTGGAGCTGATGTCAAAGTATGTTACTGTTAGACTTCACTGTCTAAGAGATTTAAGATCTTTTACTTCATTATGAAAGAGGAAAATATTGAATTCCACTGCAGACCTAAAACCAAAAAAACCCTACAACTTCCACCCTTCCTCCCTCCCCACCCCAAAAAAAACCCCCCCGCAGATGAAATTAATCAAATACAGCAGGGGAATGCAGCTGATAGCACTAAGAATCCTGATCTCCTTACTCAAAACTCCAATGAAGTCAATCAGATTTTTCACCAAGCAAGGAAAACAGGAATTAGCCCAAGAAGCAGAACAAACTGAGGAAGTTACGATGAAAAAGGGAGCTACCAAAGTCATTTTTATGCTGTTAAGTTTATTAACAAGATGGCCTTACTCCTGGGCCTCAGAAGACAGCAGCAGACCTCTGAGGGGATGTCATATCCCAACTAGCAATTCCTCCTCATATGGACAGGAAGAGCCAAGCATGTTTTATCCTGAAAGGAAAAACTAGTCAGTCAGTAAACAAAGTAAAGCTTACTCCCTAACATCACAAACTATCAAGCAGCATGTGACTCAAGCTATCATCAGAGCAACATACTGCCATGCACAGCAAAGCCATTCAACAGAAACTACATACAAATCCCATTCCAGAATGCAGTGAGAATAGAATCAGTAGTCTGTAGTCAACAGGAGTCTTGCCATCAACTACAATGGGAGTAGGACTAACCCGATCCATAGTTTCTACTGATTGGTTGCTTTACAGATAATGTAAGAATTGGCAGGTGACAACTGAGGAAGATAGCAGCACAGAGAGTAAAAGATATGAGCTAGCAATCTTAAATGTATACATGCACACACAACCCAGCTGATCCATTCTCTCACAGTAGTCTCCCAAAATTGACATGGGATTGCACACAATATAATCATTAACATAATGAGTGCTGATAGTTATGCTACAGCAGTGGCAGTGTTAACAAAGCTTGATGTGCAAAAATCCCTACTCCAATATGATTAAAAATGGTATCCTTGGAAAGCACTTAAAAAAAAAGATGAAATATGCCCATCTGCACCATATAAGAGATTAGGTATTCCCAAATAAACAAGTTCTGTGTTCAGTTTTGAGCTATTGCTAATAAGCAGGGATCCTAGAAATCTGTTTGCCCAAAAAAACATGAAATTTGTTTTTACAGAGACTCTTTAGTTTTTACATTTTGTAAAAAAAGTAAAAACATACACAGTGAAACCCTGATTTATCCAGTCTAACTGAGATCAGGGCCAAATCGGATAATCAAAAATTCTGATAATCAGAAGAATGGGCAAAGAGCTTTCTATCCCTTATTTTAAGATGGGAAGCTTGGGCAGTCAGCCTCGGGCAGCTGGTGGTTCAGTTAATACAATGAGTTGGGTAATGGAGGCTCAGATGAACATTGTGTTCAACTGATTTCTGTAAATATTGTGGCTAGGGAAACTAAAGTTCAGTATTTCACTTTAATTGCAGAAAGACACAAATATGTATAGATTTTATCAGAGTATGGGGGGGGGCGGTGTTTTCCACAGAAAACTGGGATTCCTGCTAATAAGTAATGGTATGGCATTACCAAACTAATTACCAAGATTCACTACATTGTGGGAAGTTCAGTCACTCTTCCTATTTACAGGAAGATCTTATCCAGTCTTCTCTTATATGGACATTACAGTTCATGTGGTATTTCTCCTTGCCCACCTCATAAGGTGTGCTATATGCCAGATGTTCCCTTTCACTTCAGAGGCAACTGCTTTTCACTGACACTCAATGTGTATCATTTAATATAGTTATAAGAAACGTAAAACCATATTTTAGAAGGAGAACCTGGTTTATTCCCCTATCTAAAAGGGACTGTGTGTAGGCAATTATAGTTGGATGTCAGTGACTGTCAGGGTTCTCCCTCCATGTGATAAAACCACTGCCTTGATCCAACTCTGGATCCAGATTCAGGATGCTGAAAATGCAGTAGCCTTCTCCTCCTAAAAAAATGAAAACAGGGCCTCCAGGATAGGATTGATATATTGAGTATTATGTGACCATGACACCAATTTGGACCCTCACCTTAAACTGGCACAACACTATTGACAACTCCAAGCGTTCAAAAATCATGAGATTTTTAAAAAATTACGTTTACAGTACTATTTGTTTGCCTTCTAGTTTTGGGGCCTTTTCGAGCTTTTGTTCACAAGTACAAGGGCTAGAAATTTTTTTTTAAATGACAGCTGAGATTCTCATGTAATCACATGACCCTAGATACTTCAAAAAAAATACCAAATATCACAAGCTTGTTTAAGTCACAACAGTGAGCTAGACTGTGGATCCCTACTAGCTCGTCCAAGAAACATATGTGGAACATAGAAAACATCCCCAAACCTACCATTGTGATGTTAATTCCAGATTACTCTCATCACCACTGTCAGATGGGGAGGAGAAGACAGTGTTCATGGCCTAGCATGGGAGTGATCTTCCGCTGCTTTTGGTAATGATGTGATGGAGGATGAAGAGGCCCCAACTCCAACCTCTGAAAACGGGAAAAAAACTCCTAAGGGAATAGAAATGCAAAAGTAGGAGCATCTACACAAACACATTCACTTGTTTCCTCTTCACACCCTATCCTGGCTTAAATACACCCCATCCAGAAGCCTCAAATGTTATCAACCCTGCAATCAAGTCTACACAGCCCTCTGAGACTCCTCCTCTCCTTCCCTGTTCAGAGAGGAATGAAGGAACAACACGGAACAGGTTTGCTTCAGGAGAAAGAAGGAGCTGCAACAGAGCTACTGGTCTCTCTATATTTTAGCAACCTGAAAACTACCTTGTGTTCAACCACACAATTTTCAATGGCATACCAGCACGGAAAGACATCATCCACTCTAAAATTTAACCCCCTCCAATGCTCGAGAGCACACAACCCCTATACCAAAGCTAAGGGCCAGCAACACAACAGCAGAGTCAGAAACTGCTACATGTAGCAAAAGCTGACACAAGGCAAAATTTACTATCTTCACCTCTCTCATTCCCCTGGGCCAGAAGTAGCAAATTATAATAGGAGGGTTGTCCTAATCAGAATTTGCTGCTCCTCACTTTTCCCCATCCTTGTGATGTCAGTTTTGAATAAAATTTTACTTAATGCTGCCCCATGGAGCTAGCAATAGCGACTGGCAATGGTTCAGTAACAGTGCTGCCATAATAAGCAGACATGAGGAACAACAGAGACTGGGCCATTGTTTGCGCGTGTTCTACAGATTCAAATTCCGGCACTTATCTGCATGCACTCCAGCTGCCATTAACTTTGTTAGATTTAACTTTATAGAATTGCAGAGATGTGTCTGTAATATGAGAAATGCATATGTACCTTGAGGGATCAAATATGTCTCATTTCAGCACTGAGTTCTACATGCTTTGTCAGTCTGGGATGGTTTGTGTGCAGCAAGCTCAGTGTCTAAGTGTGGGTAGCTCCTGTTTGTTTAGCTGAACCTAAGCCCAAGTTCTGCTGTAGCAAAGAGAAAGAGTTAGACTTCATTTTATAATGCTCATGTGCTGCATTCCCAAAGTATGCTGCAGCATCTCTAAGGATAAAGGATAACAATGTGTGTTATTGGGGCATTACTAAAAGGGAGGAAAGTTATGGTCACATTGCAAGGGTGCCACATTCCTTAACTTTGTACTTCCTGTTTTTTAGAGGTTTAAGTTTAGCTACTCTCTCCACTCTGGAAAGGCATGAAGCAGCACTAGGCAACCTTCATTCTGCATTAACAAAGTTTTTAGGCAGTTAATTTCCTTGGGCTTGAGGGTTTTTTTTTGTTTTTCTTTTTAAATATATAATTTCTCAGCATCTCCATAACCCAGCTCTCCCTCTCCACTGCCTCTGGCTAGTTGGCAATAATTATTACCACAGTCACCGAAGACAATGTTGCATGTTAATCCCTTTACTACCCAACACCATCTCCCCAGGTCAGGGGCCTCCTGTCTCTGCCTGTTCAGCAGGTTGGTCTTACCTGCTTCCCATGCCAGAGCAGACATCAGCAGAGGTCCTGCAAGGACCTGCGAGCAGACTGAGGGACGTGATCGTTCCCCTCTATTCGACATTGGTGAGGCCTCATCTGGAGTACTGTGTCCAGTTTTGGGCCCCACACTACAAGAAGGATGTGGATAAATTGGAGAGAGTCCAGCGGAGGGCAACAAAAATTATTAGGGGTCTAGAACACATGACTTATGAGGAGAGGCTGAGGGAGCTGGGATTGTTTAGCCTGCAGAAGAGAAGAATGAGGGGGGATTTGATAGCTGCTTTCAACTACCTGAAAGGGGGTTCCAAAGAGGATGGCTCTAGACTGTTCTCAATGGTAGCAGATGACAGAACGAGGAGTAATGGTCTCAAGTTGCAGTGGGGGAGGTTTAGATTGGATATTAGGAAAAACTTTTTCACTAAGAGGGTGGTGAAACACTGGAATGCGTTACCTAGGGGGAGGTGGTAGAATCTCCTTCCTTAGAGGTTTTTAAGGTCAGGCTTGACAAAGCCCTGGCTGGGATGATTTAACTGGGAATTGGTCCTGCTTCGAGCAGGGGGCTGGACTAGATGACCTTCAGGGGTCCCTTCCAACCCTGATATTCTATGATTCTAAGTTAAGAAGCTGGGGAGAGGATGCAGGAACAGTGCAGGAACTAACATGGAGTCAGGCCTATTTTTTAGAAGGAAAATAAATATGGAGGGGAATGTCTGGACCCCTCCTATGCACCCCATACTTCTCTGCACAACTCTGACCTCCCTCTCTTCCTTTAGCAGCAGCATAAGGAAGGGTGAGTCTGGAGCACCTTCCTTACTGCAGGAGGCAGCATGATTTAACCTTAACGGTTTTTTTTTCCCCTCACATTTTTTACCTGTAATATGAAGTTGCTCTAAGACAATTATTCACTGGAAACATTCAGTCTTATTTATATGGTCAAATATATAGGAAATATATAAACATTTTCATCTGTAATGCGAAGCAATTTTGGCAAAGGGAGGATAAGTTACTATAATTTGAAATCATTGGTTGACAACTTGTTCATCTCAAAGTATTCATTATTTAGCTTAATTTTTCCACACTAACATTTTGTTATGGTGCAGCTATACTGTTGCAGTTCCAATAAAATATTAATCTGGTCTAATCACTCAGTTAGTAGGCCTATTTTTGGACCTATGTTTCATACACAACCATAGACACATCAAGGAAAACCCCTAGTAAAGATACGCTGCAGTAGTGTAATCTTGATCTGCTGCAGTTCACAGTGTGCCTGTTTTTAAAGGTCATGATTACCTACAGTGCATTACAAAGACACAAGAACTTTGCAATGTTGCTGCTACATTGGTATAGGTAAACCATTTGAACAGGAAAAAGAAGTGGAACTAGAGTTATGACATTGTGATACAGTGCGTAACTTAGTTACAGGTAAACAATGACATGCATCTGAATAGAGTGAATCAAAAGAAGGGATAGTGTGCTAAGGGCAATTAGTAATAAAATACCATTTTAAAACCAAGTAATTAAAATAAATGGTAAGATGCAACACTTACAGTGGGTAACAGGAAATGGAGTCCCATGTAGGCTCACCGTATGGTAGCTAAGCCAAAGCTGGCACTGCTGTCAGGCTCCCTACAGACAAGGTATGCCTGCGGAGGCATTCTCCTCACACAAACCCAGGCAGAGTTGTGACCAGTTTTAGGGTGGTGGACGTATCAGGGAACCAACTTTTTTTGGCCACTCAGTACCTTATTTCAGGCTGCAACACGTCGGCATAGGGCTACACTGCACTTCTAAGGCCACAACCCTGGGGCAGGGGTGCTAAGGCAGCACAGCCAGCCAGGAGCACCTGCCCCTCTGGCAACCACTGCAGGTGGCTCACCCCATCCACGGGAACGTCAAACCACTCTGCAGGGCTCCCCTCCCTGCCACCCCATCTCCCTCTTCGTTACCCCCAGGTCCCGCCCCTCTGCCCCCTCCTTCCACCCAGGGCCGGCTCTACAGTTTTTGCAGCCCCAAGCAGCGAAAAAAACTGCCGCCGCGGACGGCAAAAGGAAGAAGCTGCCGGCCCTGCTTCCACCCTCGGGGCAAGCGACACCCATCCCCCTCCCTCCTTCTCTCCCCTGAGCCCCCCTCCATAGCAGCAGCCGTTCTGAGGGCCAGTAAGGGGAGGCTGAAGCAGACGTTACGGAGCATGCGCAGTAACCCTTCCAGGGAATAACGGTCCTGACACCACGATAGCCGGAATGGCGGCGCAACCCTCCCCAGCGCTCACAAATCCCAAGCCGCACGTCCCGCCAGCTGCCTCTCGCGCTCAAGGGCGCGTGAGCCCGCAGCTAGCCTCGCCAGCCGCGCTCAAGGGCGGGTGAGCCCCCAGCTGCCCCCCGCCAGCGGACCAGCCCTCATCCCCCTCCTAAGAAGCTGACCCCTTGCCGCTACTGACATGCCTAGACCCTACCTTCGGGCCGCTCGCAGACCTCACCCCCGCGCATGGTCGGTGGGTGAACCCCCCCACTTCCGGGAGGCCCCGCTCGCCGTGGTGGGAGGAGCCCCGGAGCGCCCGCCCCAGCGGCGCCGGGCCGAGTCGCTGGTCCCCCCATCCCCGGCCGGCCTGTATGGTTAGGCGGCGGCGACATGGGGATTTTGAGAATCTCAGTGGCACTTAAGCATGGGACGTAGTTGCCTAATTGCCCCGTTAGACGCCTGTGTTCCAGTGTGGACCTGCCCCATAGGGCTTACTCGCCTGCCTCGCTCCATTGACTTTAATTCCAGTCTCCAGGTGTGACTTAATAGGCCTATCCCATTGACTTCACATTGACTACTCCTGTTAGTCAGCACTCCTGAGACTGATAAGTGTTTGAAGGCTTAGTTCTAAAGTTAGAGTACTAACATACTAAAATGTGTTGCTGTCTTGAAGAAAAACATTGCATCCCATTATCAAAATCCCACATCTCACTGCTAAAAGATAATAGGTCTGAACAAAGGCCCGGATCCAAACATTGAGTCACTTGGATTCACAGCTGAATCACAATTTTGCAACTGGCTCCTATCTCAGTACAGCGCTATCTGTTTAATGGGCTTAACCAAATTTCTGAATACAAACACCCTCAAATTATGGGGAACTTTGGCTCAGAGCCAAACCACATCTTGGACTCTGTAGCTAAAAGGACAACGTCAAGGTATTTGTCATCTTTTAATAAATGTTGCTTATAGCTAAAGGCAATTAAGTAGACCTAAAAAGCCGTAAGTGGCTTAGGAGCTATGGGCTAGATTCACAAAAGGCTCTAGATCAGTGGTGGGAAACCTGCGGCCCGTCAGAGTAATCTGCTGGTGGGCCGCGAAACAGTTTGTTTACATTGACTGTCCCTCAGGCACGGCCGCCCGCAGCCCCCAGTAGCCACGGTTCGCTGTTCCCGGCCAATGGGAGCTGTGGGCGGCCATGCCTCAGGGACGGTCAATGTAAACAAACTGTCTCGTGGCCCACCAGCGGACTACCTTGATGGGCCGCAGGTTGCCCACCACTGCCTTAGATGCTTAAATCTAAGTAGGAGTAGGGAAACCACCTCCTGAATCTCCCACATAGTGGCTAAGTGCTCTGACTGCCAGGCTATAGAGTCATTCTCTTTCACTGGCCCAATGATTCCAAAGTTGGGTGTGGCTATGCTTAGCATTGCCATGCCTACATTTCTGTCTCAGTGTGCTTTAGTGAATTCTCCTCTGCTTAGTAGATGTTTTCTGTGAAGGTCCCTTCACTTTACATTCACTGCCCACCTTCAAAGCTTTGCTTCTCTCTCACTCTAGGTTATGAAGAGGGATGAGCATTATGACAGCAGTTACTGGTGGAAGAGGGAGCAATTTCTTTCAATCTTTATTTTGGCTGCCTGTTGACAGTTAGGGGTCTGGCACAATTACTGGAGTAAGGATGATAATAAAGGGAGCTGTAATAACAAGTGTAGTTAAAATTATGTCTAGAGCAATGGATAGTTCCTTTTCATGTTAATGAATCAAAATAAATTAAATCATATGTAATATTTTAAGACTATCACCTTGAGTGGCTCTATAATTTCAAAGAAATTATGAGGAAAAACTAGGACTTGCTTTGTCTATTAGGACCTGAGAATCAAAGTTTTATTTATTTGAAAGCAGTAAGACACTACAAAATTGTATAATTCTAAATGGAAACATAGGCCTGATCCTCTGAGGTGTTGACACCTTCTGAAAGGTAGTGCGAACCCTAACACCTACAAAAGAATTCATAACTGAGGGTGCTCAGCACATTACAAGATCAGGCTCAGAGTTATCTGAAAAGGGTGTAGCCCAAACTTTGGAATTTTCTATGTAAATAATAATTAGCCTTGGGCCAAGGAGGTGGTGTTTGGCTTGAACATAGGCTGCTGGTCAACATGCAGCTATCCCCTGGCTAGGATTTGGGTTTACATTTGACAGCACCAAAATCTCATGAACTTTTCTGGAGAGATTTCTGTCACCTTGGCCTGCATCTGAACCAGATTTGGAAAATAGGCTCCGTCCAGTTTTGAGATTGCAGTTGAGTCCTGTGGCGGTTCAGTGATGAGACAGAACACAGCTTTTTGCAAGCAGGCAGGCTGGTCAGCTGAGATGGGCGTTCTCTGCCCCCCCGCCTTCCACCTTCTCCTTTTATTATATTTCTCCCCCCTAAGCATTACACACTGCTACCGCAAAAAGATACACAAAGGAATGTATGACGTTGATTAATATACTTAGTTGCATCTTTTATATACTACAATCCTGGTTCTCAGGCCTTGAGCCCAGGCTAAGAAAGCCTCCCACAATTACTGTCCAAACAATCAAGTTCTCATGGTTCATATCTAGCCCTTGTCCTTGGATAGAGCAATGTGTGCATTGCTTCTACGAAACAGTCAGGGTGTGCCCCGCCTGCTTCTAGGTGGACTAGCTAAACATTAACCCTTCATCTCCCCGTTTTTTATTTATTAATATTTGGCCATCTCATGGTAGCCGTCAATTTGTTTTGTCATGCTATTTAACTCCCAGACAGACAAGGACATAACCTGGGGGAGCTTTCCAGGGCAAAATTTTACAAAATCTTAACAAGGAAAGAATACATTGTACACAGCAGCAGCAAAAAGTAAGCCCAATGATTACAAACACAAAATAACCAAAAGCTCAACATCTGCAATATAATCATCTAAAAGGGGTACACTTCTTTTAGAAAATAGCAGGCACAAAAGGCACACAATCATCACAGAATTAGCAGTGATTTGGGCGAGAATCGCCACAAACAAAGTCTCAGGAGTCTCTGGCTGTTGATCTGCTGCCAGTCTTCGTTGAGCCGCGGCGACCAATGCTTTTACTGCTCCCCATGTTACGGGCTGGCTTGGGACGCTACGCCTCCTCCGTTTCCGTCCCGTCGTTGTCGACTCGGGGGCAACGCGGTCTCCTCCAAGGTCAGCTGAAACTCTGGTATGGGATTCGACAGTCCCTGGTGCCATGCCATGTTGTTTAAGTGCCGGTCGCACACACCGAGCTGGAACCCACAACGGTCCTGCAGGGAGAGACACAGCAGCATATCCCCGACCCCAAGTGATTAGAGGTACTGGGCCCAGCCACTGTGGATCGGGCAGCTGACAGTAATAGACACGTGGTCTTTCCAGTACCTCAGATTTGTGAAAATGCCGATCCGCAGGGGTCTGCTGATCTGCATTCAGTGTTAAATTATTTAAAGTAAACAAGAGGATATGCATTTGTTGTTAAATGTCTCCTAAGGTTCGGAGACGCAGCTCCCCTTGTTTTAATTGTTTATCTAGCAAGGTTTTGAGTGTGCGATTGGCACGTTCAACAATGGCTTGGCCCGTGAAATTATAAGGGATTCCGTGTGTAAGACGGACGTCCCAGCGGGCACAAAAGGTGGGGAGGGCTGCAGAGCAGTAGGCTGGGGCATATCTGTTTTAATTTGGCAGGGGCGACCCATAACAAAAAGGCAGGCCAGCAAATGGTGAATAACTTTGTTAGTGGCTTCCCCACGTTGTGGGGAAGCCAAAAAAACCTTAAATACATATTAACGGAAACATGTAAAAACAAATAGGGGCGGAATTGTGGCACATGAGTAACATCCATCTGCCACAGCTGATTTGCTGCGGTACCTCGGGGGTTAACGGCATAAGAAAAAGTAGAAGCAGCAGCAGCACAGTGGGGGCAGGAACGAACAATGGAACGTGCATGATCAGCAGGAATGTGAAACTGCCGGGCCAAAACAGAGGCAGACTGATGAAAAAAGGCCTGGCTTTCAATGGGGTCAGAAAAAAGGGAATTTACCTGACCACGCAACGCGCGACCGGCGCGTGCATTGCCCTCAGTGAGTGGCCCAGGCAGAGGGGTATGACTGCAAATATGAGCAACAAAATAAGGGAAATGACAAGTGGCAAAAAGGTGCTGCAAAAACAAAAACAGGCGAAGGAGGTCTGCATCAACCTGAGGGGTAATGAGGGCAAGGGGTAAATGATCAATTACCTAATAAACATAATAGGTATCCACAATTAAATTAAAGGGACAATCAGCAAAAGGTTGAAAGGCCAAAATAACAGCAGCTAATTCTGAGGGCAACGGGGGATGGTAAAAAAAACAATCTTTTAAATCTAACACACAAAGTTGATCGGTTTGAGGAATTAAATTTGGATTTGGCAAGCCAAATTGCAAGGGGCCCATAGGTTGGATGCGTTTATTTATTTCCCTTAAATCATGTAACAGACGCCAAGCACCCGATTTTTTTCTTAATAACAAACACCGGGGTGTTCCAGGGACTAGTGGAGCTCTCCAGTCGCTGTGCTTGCAAATGCTGCTGCACAAGCGAATGAAGTGCTTTTAGCTTTTTTAGAGGGAGGGGCCACTGATCAATCCATACGGGCTCTAAGGATTGCCATACCAAGGGTAAGGCGGAGGGCACGGTGGGTGAGGGAGGGTTTTGGGCCATCAGATGTTAATATCGAGGGTGGTGTCTAACTTTGTAAGTAAATCACGGCCCCAAATATTGAGGTGGACAGGGAGCACAAAAGGGCGGATAGTAGCAAGGGTATGGCCTCCCGGTTTAGAGACCGTGACCCAAGACAAACTTTGGCGCCCGGGTTTACTACCCCCGATCCCCCACAATTCTTTAGAAGGAACCGTAGGCCAATTAACCGGCCACTCCAGATCACGAATCACCGTAACGTCAGCTCCAGTGTCCACCAGCCCTGTAAAAGGAACATCATCTAAGAGAAGTGTTAGCTGAGGCTTCGAGGGGCGGACTGACATTGTCAGAGCAACAAGTGGAGAAGACGCGCTGTGAGACGGCGAGTGAGACAACGTCGATCCAAAGCCGCCTCCGCCCCGAGTTTGATCCTCGGCAGCTGGCACCTGATAGGGGACTAAAATCAATTGTGCAATTGACCGTCCACGCGGGAGCGATTGTGGAAGATGAGTCCACACCTGAACCTTAATAATGCCAGTGTAATCAGCATCAATGACCCCTGGAATGACAAAAAAGCCCTGTTTCCCAGCATGTGAGCGAGGGAGAACAAGACCTACAAAGCCGGCAGGGAGAGGTCCCGTCACCTGTGTAGGTATGGCACAGACCTCCCCTGGCAGCCAAAAGTCAGTGTCCTCCTGCATGATCAAATCAAGCCCTGCACTTCCAGCAGTCGCCGCCCTCATAGAGTCTACGGATTCCAAGGCAGAGGAGCGATTGCCTGAGTAGGAAACACCCCCGTTTGGCCCTGGGTTCGGGGGGACCCGTCACGCGGTTTCCCGACCCGCTACAACACTGATTAGCCCAGTGATAACCTTTCCCACACTTGGGGCACTTCTTTGAGGGTCGGGCTGGTGCCTTAGATGAGTGGCACTCCCGCTGAAAATGACCCTCCTTACCACAGCGGTAACAATGCTTCCCCTCCTTCCCAGTTTTTCTGAGGGCGGCAGCCAGAACTCCAGCCTTGTGGGCTTGTGTGCCAATGTTCTGGCACGCCCGCAGCATGTCTGAGAGCTCTAAAATACCAGAGGCTTGTGCTGCCTGGAGAGCACGGCGGCAATCCTCGTTTGCATTTTCAACTGCCAATTTTAACAGGAGCTCGTGAGCTGCCTCAGTGTTATCCACCTGCCGGAGGATAGCCTCATGCAATCTGTTGGTAAAATCCAAAAAGGACTCTGAGGCACCCTGACGGATACTGACAAAGCTTTTGGTAGGCTTGCCTGAATCCGGGACCTTCTTGAAAGCATGCTGGGCACAGGTGGAAATAATGGGGAAGACGGCCTGAGGGAGTTGAGACTGCATCTGAATAGTAGCAAACGGGCCCTCCCCTGCCAATTGCTCATAAATGATACCGTGCGCTGCATGTACCTGAGCTTGGCGTTCTGCCATCTGCCGATACTCACTAAGCCAAATAACATACTGACTGGGTGACAACATCATGCGCAGCAGCGTTTTCCAATCCTCAGGGATTAGGGAGTACCCAGTACCTATCCCTTCAACGAGACCACGCACAAAGGTGCTAGTCAGGCCAAACTCACGAATTGCTTTCCTCACCTCTCTAACCACCGAGTATGACAAAGTGGTCCAGGTGCCCACGGGGTTGCCCTGGTCATCATTCTGCCAGGTCACCGGGCAAACTGAGACCAGATCAGCCAGCTCCTCCGCTGTAAGATCTGATCGAGCTTTCGCTGCGTGAACCATTTGTTGCACCAGCGAAAGCTTCTGAGCAGATGCAGATGACCCTCCGGGGGGCCCCACGGGGGGAGGGTGATCACACACCGGCTCCGGTGGGGAAGGCCAGGGAGGCGGTGGTAATAGAGGCACTGGGGGTGAAGCAGGGGGAGGGATGGCTGCAGGAGCGGACGGGGGCGGCGGGATCGGCAGCCCCTCTGTTGGTGCTGGAGAGGGCCTTTCCGAGGCGACACGCTGTGTCGCATCGCCAGGAGGGGGGATGGCTGCAGGAGCAGATGGGGGCGGCGGGATCGGCAGCCCCTCTGTTGGTGCTGGAGAGGGCCTTTCCGAGGCGACACTCTGTGTCGCATCGCCAGGAGGGGGGATGGCTGCAGGAGCAGACGGGCGTGGTGAGATCACCAGCCTCGCGAGGGAGGGCCTGTCGGAGGCGACACGCTGTACCACATTGCGGCAGAGGTGCCAGGCATGTAAAGCCTGCACGGGCGCCCGAGGCTCTTTGTGCAATGTCTGGCCCAATCGCTCCCAGTCTGCTAGCTTAAGGCTTCCGGCTTCAGGATACCACGGGCACTTGGCACACACCTCCTGTAGCAGGAGAGTAAGTGCTCGAGCCGGGCAGTCATGCTGAGCCTTACGCAGCAAATACTGCAGCTCATTGCGGTGTTGCACTTGCAAAGCAGAGAGGGAGCTTCCCATACTTACCACAATGAAAAATACTCACCGGGATCCGCGAAGCGGATGAGTGACGCGTCTGAAACCCTTGCCGGGCGAGGTGAGTGCTGAGGGCCCCACGTTTGGGCGTCAGTTGTGGCGGTTCAGTGATGAGACAGAACACAGCTTTTTGCAAGCAGGCAGGCTGGTCAGCTGAGATGGGCGTTCTCTGCCCCCCCGCCTTCCACCTTCTCCTTTTATTATATTTCTCCCCCCTAAGCATTACACACTGCTACCGCAAAAAGATACACAAAGGAATGTATGACGTTGATTAATATACTTAGTTGCATCTTTTATATACTACAATCCTGGTTCTCAGGCCTTGAGCCCAGGCTAAGAAAGCCTCCCACAATTACTGTCCAAACAATCAAGTTCTCATGGTTCATATCTAGCCCTTGTTCTTGGATAGAGCAATGTGTGCATTGCTTCTACGAAACAGTCAGGGTGTGCCCCGCCTGCTTCTAGGTGGACTAGCTAAACATTAACCCTTCAGAGTCCCAATTCCACTAATAATGAAAACACTGAACATTTGTAAAAGAAAGCTAGAGATTATGTATTGTATGTTATTTAGGTGGAGATAAATGGTAACCCTAACTACTAATACTTCTGGGTGTTCTATATAGTTTTAAATTATTGTGACATTTAAGAGAGCACCAGGGAAGATCACTGAAGTCAATCAGAATTATACCAGGCTTGATCCCTATGTAGATCCACAGAAAGTTCTGGAAAACTATGAGTGTCATACTGTTTAGAAACAATTAGTCTCTCTTGATTTCCCTTCTCTCCTCTCCCCCCACCTTGTTCCATTGCCTAGCATATTAGTGCAAACACAAAATCTTTATTTGCTGTAACATCACAACTTGTTGCTGTGGGTGTGATTACACAGAAACAAACAGAAGATTATGATTTCAGGCAAATTTGCATCTTATCAAGGGCTATATCATAAAGTATGTATGCTGGCTCTGAGAGGCAGAGCACCTTTATAAACAATTAGACACAAACATAACAAATTTGCTGTTTGTGACTATAACTTCCTCAGCAACCAATGCTGATGTCACAATCAAAGATGATGCCTTCAGGTAATGGATAAGCAGGAGGAGCAAATTACTCTGAACTAAAATATGTTTCTTTAGGCTATTATGGTTTGAATTGGTCCACATAGCCTGATAAATTATATTAGAAACCAATTTAGTTGAAACAGTGTGTAAAATTGCTGACACACATCCATACTGATTTTAAAGGCCAGTGCAGTTAGGGCCTGAAAATCCTCTGTAAAGTGCTTTCCTTGTAATAACTATTAATAATATCATGGATAATAACACTTTATGACTTTTCTTTTGAGTTGCCAAGCACTATGGCTCTTATTAACATTAGTGAGAGTTGTGAGTGCTGAGCACTGTTGAAAATCAACCCATAAACATTCAATGTGCCACACAAACATTAACTAGTTAATCAGTGTATTTGTTCTACTTATAATCCGCATTGTCTGTGATTATCACTCATTGTGTTATGTCTTATTCTAGGCCCTGGAACAACTCACATAAGGAGGGTTTGCATTCTCAGACCAGGATCTTTATCAGCTTGTACTTTTGTAATGATCAAAAATCCATACAACACTCCCACCCTCCCATGAGGTAAGTAAGTAAGAATTATTATCCATGTTTCACAGAAAGGGAAGTTGAGGAAGAGTGGTTAAATGATTTTTCTCATGGCTACACAGTGAATCAGGATTAGAACTCCAAAATTGGTGATTTCCAAGCACATGCCCTGTGTGTTGTTACAAATCCACTGCCTGCTCAGTATCTAGAGCACTGTTATATGTGTTTATACTCTCTTATAATGTATAAATAGCCCATACACCACAACAGCAGGCTTTTTATGTAAGTATGGCATTGCCACTGTTCAGCATGTTCAGAAATACTGTAACCTTTGGGCTTCATGACTAATTGGTATGCTCTCATGTCTGCTCCACCCAAAGGCTAGGCAGTGAACATTATACCTTCATAAAATACTGTTTGCGTATTATCAAGTTGATAAGGACTCTATATAAATACACAAAGGCTTATTGTTCATAGCACAAAGCCTCTTCTTCTACTTCCTCTTCTTTTACTCTTTTTGCTTCATCTCATGGAGAAAGAAGGGCTTTCTGACAAAAATCACTCTGATAGAAGAAATAACATCTTTAAGACATAATACAGATAATTACAGCAAGAATGGGTCTGCTAAGTTCCAAACACTGCAGAGTCAAACCAGCTAAGATATTAATGCTGGGACTCGATTCAGCTGGGAAATCTACACTATTGTACAAGTTAAAGTTTAATGATGTTTTCCTAACACTCCCAACAATCGGTTTTAACGTGGAAATGATTGAAACAGGGCAAAATATTGCTATAACAATCTGGGATGTTGGAGGGCAACATAAAATGAGGACATTTTGGTGCAATTACTTTGAAAATGCCGATGGCCTAGTGTACGTTGTGGACAGCACTGATAAGCAACGTCTGGAAGATTCAAAGAAAGAATTTGAACTCATCTTAAAGAATGAATTTGTAAAGAATGTGCCTGTTGTTTTGCTAGCTAACAAGCAGGATCTTCCTGGAGCTTTGAACGCTGAGGAAATAACCAGGAAATTCAACATGCAGAAACATTGCAGTGATCGAAATTGGTATGTACAGCCTTGTTGTGCCATCACTGGGGAAGGTCTGCCAGAAGCATTCCAAAGAATAACAGCATTTGCAAAAAACTGGAAAAAATCCAAAGAAGCTTTTACAATTTTCAAGCAAGATGAAAAGTTGTAAGAGTCTTCATTATACCATCTGGGGAAAGCTATCATGGAGAGTTAATTATGGGAATTAAATCTGCATATTGGAAGATTTGACTCTGCAGGACTTTTAAAAGACTATTATATAGCAAAATGTAGTCAGAGCAAGCTAAATTACTATGTTGTTACATTTGCATACTTTTCAGAGCTACTGTTTAACAGCATTTTAATTAAATGACATATTTGTAGCCTAAGTCCAGATATTTGGCTATGTTAAACTGCATGATGTAATACTAAAAAGGTGCATTTAAACATTTTAAATGTTCTACAGTCATTTTATTTATGCTTGTTTAATTACACAAAATTTACAAGAGCTGTGATAACTGGATCATTGAGCAAGCAAAGGAAAAGTAAAAAAAACAATATTTCATATTACATAACATACTGTATTTGTAAGTGCTTTGTGAATATGTTTATTATACAGGCATATATAAATTACACAAGAAAGTAATTTTGATAGCTAATTTATTTTTATCTGTTATATCATTTTACCAATACTTAAAAGATAAAGGCTTTCTCCTTTCAACTATATACAAGAGAAACTGCGTACTTGGAACAGAAGCATTCAGATTACTGCTTTCTCAGGAACCAGTCCTGTTCACAATGATTTCAGTTAGAGAAGGATCAGACCCTCAAAACCGATAGAATGATCAGACCAAGCTGATTCTGTCTTTTGTGGGGTTTGTGTGTATTTTATATCATTTTCAATCATGATTAGGGCTGGTGTTTTCCAGATATTGCCAATATTGCTGTGTTTTTTCCCGAAATTACCTTTCATTTCCAGAATTGCCAATTCCAGAGGCAAAGCATGGGGAGGGGGCATGCGGGTCACATGCCCCCTCCAGATTTCTGCCAGGGTGTATATCTGCTGACTACTCCCCAGGGCACAGGTTGGGGGCTGGCTTTTGTATGAGACTCGCCACCAACTTCTCCCCTCCTCATACAGGCCTGGGCTCAGCAATACCTCCGTGGAGCTTCCTTCTCCTGGACAGGCAAGGCCCTTGGGCTCCCTTGTCATGCTGCACAATGGACAGCGCTTGCACCTTTTCTCAGCAGCGTCCACAGCTCCTCTCCCCTACTCACCTGCCCTGCACACAGCTGGTTCCTGGCCCCTCTCCCAACACACAGCTGGCTCATGCCCCCTCCCTCCAGCACACAGCTGGTCCAGTTCTAGCCCTCAGTGCCCAGCATCTGTCCCCCACCTTGCCTGCACAGCAGGCGCCTGCCCCCTCCTACCTGCACATAGCTGGCTCCAGGCTCCCAGTGACCAGCTCCTCATCTCCACCTTCCCTAATCTCTGCACACAGCGGGCTCCTGCCCTTCCTCCCAGTACACAACTGGCTGTAGGCACTTAGCTCACATCTCCACTTCTGCACACATCTAGACTTTGCCCGAGCTGCCTGTAGGCTCAGTGCTGTTCCCTCATAGCTAGAGCCTCTTCCTGACCCTCCTGCACCCAGCAGGCTCTAAGCTTTTATTGCCAGTGCCTACAGCTCCTACCCCCATTTTCTCCCATAACACAGCTGGTGCTGCGCTCTCCATGTTGCACAACAGTCACTCCCCGCCTGCCTATTCCAGAAAGCAACTCAGGTGCAGCCGCTATCTCCCTTCTTCACTTTTCTCCCTCAGCACTGGCTTCTTACCTGCCCAGAACTCTCCATGACACCAGCTGCAGCAGTCTTTCCCTTGGGTCCTAAAGCCTGACAAGTTGCTTGCTGCCAATAAGGGAATTTCCAAGCTTGCAGTCCCAGTCAGCTGTAAACCTCAGGAGTAACTCTCTTCTAGAACAGTCGCCATCTGCTATTACATAGTATCATAAAACATGTAATCAAAAGTAGCTCTAGAAATCAAAACTCCTTTATCTCTTAGGTACCTGTGCTGAACCCCGCTGCATGCCACCAGAACCTTTAAATTTTGCCCTCCTCCCCCACTATCGCATTATGTGTTGCCTCTAGCCAATTCCTTTCAATTTTCCACCTTCTGCTTCAGCCATTTGAAGCCGTTTACTACCTATGCATAAAATTGTTAAGCCTGGGGATAGAGTTAAAGAATTCGGCAAAGATGTTCTCCATGTGGATGGAAGGAAGTTATTTTGTACAATTTTCAGCAAATTTCTTGACTCTGTTAAAAAGGACCACATAGTCAACCACATGAAAGGTCCACATCATGTTGCAGCAATGGAAGAAAGAAAATGAAGGGCAGAGAGCAGTGAGTGACAGTAGCAAAGCAATAGCTCATAATTACTGGTGTGCTTGCATGACAAAATGAAAATCAGAAATACAGGGAAAAGATAGTATAAAACAAGGTAGGGGCCTGTTGCAGTGCAAACATCCCATTAGGAAAAAAGACAATCCCAAAATGTGAGAATTTCTAAACAAGCATGTACAAAATGCGGGGCTGTATGCCACAAGCAAGTATACTGAGACAAGTCCATCTTCCCTGCATCTTTGAACTAAAAAAGCAACAGCTGATCACTGAATTGAAGGATCAGCAGTAGCTGTAATTGTGGATGACTATACAGACAGCTTAAACTGGTATGTTGCAAATATTCTAATACAGCTGCTGAAGGTTTCAGAAGATTGCCCAGCTGCTGCCAAGCTCATAGAAACAGTGCAGTGAGAACATATAACTACTTTACCATTGCACAAGCTGTTATAAAGACCTTTGTACAATATGAAATTGACTTTTCAAATGCAGTGGTTTATGTGACAGATAATGCAAAGCATATGCAAAAGTCATTCAAAGATGGTTTCAGTGGCATTTTAACCAGCTGCATTCATGTGACCTGCTGGGCACACATTAAAGCTTTACCAGGCAAGTGCTGATGCCATTTGTATACAGAAGTGGACCATCTGTATGCACTAATAAAAAAGCTGTTCTGCAAACCCCCACTCAGACACTCATTTCAGACACTACCTTATTGACCATAGAGTTGAAAGCCCAACATTTAGAACTGGTTGTAACAAGATGGAATAATTGGTTTAAAGCCATAGATTAACTCTACCATCATGTGGAGTACTACAGGGATTTGTTGCTCGAGAAATCAAAGTGGAGGACATGACTGCCATTTTAGAGGAACGAAGTGCTTTAGTGCAGAGTGAATCACTTTTGCAGATAAATTTTTATTCAAGCAGAAGCAACTCCATTTGTTCAGACAGTACTTAAATTTGAATCACGGTTGACATTACGAACAGAAGTGTACAACATTACATCTGATCTGCTGGCAAGACTTCAGTACAAAGGACAGAATGCACTGGACAATCTCAAATGTCAAGTTTTTCAACCTGCAGGGGTACTTATATACAGACAAACAGCAGTATATAGGTTTCTGTTTTTGCTTTTGCTATCTGAGAATCGTTGATCCCAATCAAGTTTCTGTACTCTCCCACAACTTCAGTGACTACAAACAGAGTTCTGCTGAGTTCTGTGCCTTGAGGGTTAGTGGGCAGTTTACCGGAACATTGTAAATGAACTTCCTACTACCAATGACATTTCTCTCTCCAGTTTTTGGAAAAGCATGGACAAACATTTGCCAAGACTTAGGCTATGTCTACAGTACCATCTTAAGACAACTTCTGTTAGCCACTGCAGTAATTAATGTGTTGACTGCTAGTCAACCTGATGTCCACCTCCTTCTGTCAGTGGTGTGCGTCCTCAACAGGAGCATTTCCACCGACTGAAGAGGGGCAGTATGGGGGACAGAGAGCCAGAGCTCTCAGCCCCCCACAGCTCCCCACTGGGAGCCCAGTTGCCCCCTGGGACTTCTTGCCTTCCCACTCCTAGTCGGGAGCAGGGGGGGGAAGCCACCTGGGGCTTCTTGCCTCTGGTGGGGAAATCCGCCTCTGGAGCCCGGGTCGGCTGCCATGCTCCTGGTAGGAAGTGGGGAGCTGGGATCCCAGTGGGGAGCCTGGGTGGCAGCCCAAACCAGGAGCCTGGGTGGCAGCCCGGCTTGAAGCAGAGACCCGGCAGCAGTCTGACTTGTTTTGTGATCACTTAATACATTTTTATGTTCTAAAATTGACAATTTCAGATGTAAAAAAAAATGTAAGTGCATTTGTAAACATTGTAATGTAGACTACTGCATTTTTGTGCTGTAAAGGATTACATATTTCCCATGTTTGTCTATACTTGTATTTTTTGTATTAATATCATGCATATCTGAAATTTTCAAAATATAAATCTTTGAAAATCAGAAATTACTCTTTTCAGAGTAACAGCCGTGTTTGTCTTCACAAAAAGAAGAGGAGTACTTGTGGCACCTTAGAGACTAACCAATTTATTTGAGCATGAGCTTTCGTGAGCTACAGCTACATCCGATGAAGTGAGCTGTAGCTCACAAAAGCTCATGCTCAAATAAATTGGTTAGTCTCTAAGGTGCCACAAGTACTCCTTTTCTTTTTGAGAAATTACTCTGTTTTCATTGCCAGAAAACACTGGCCTTAGTCATGGCTATCCTTGCTGTGTGCATAATTTTGCTTTGTGTATTGCTGCTCTGATACTGTAGGTCATGTTCTATTAATTTAGATGGAATAAAGGGGCCCAAAGAGTCAAAGGTGTTAACTTGACTCTGAAATTGTCCACCATAACACAAAGTTCAGGGTTTGGTAACCAGAGACGTTAGCCTGCTTAGTACCACAGCAAACACGTTATTAAAAATCTTTTAAACTTTGTATTAAAGATACAGAAAAGACAGGAAAAACAGTTAAAACATTTTAAATGTAAAGTATTAAGTAAGGCTGTTAGGATATAGATATTCAGGCCTGTCTGCAAAGGCCTATGATCTAAGAATTTAGGTGTATTCTTATCACTTAGCTAGTTATAGAGGTATAAAGAATCAAAATCAGTCTGCAGGTGTAAGGGCCTTTTCTCACTGTGACAGTCTGAGGCCCTGTTCTTAGGCTAACACCTCTGGCTATGCAGCAGAGGCAGCCATAAGCTAGGAAGTATATGGTCACATCCTCACATTCCAAACTAGTCACATTGAAATAAGGCAATCTGGGGCTGTTAGAAAGGTGATCTGATCTATCACCTCCAGAGAAAGGGAAGAGCCTAGAGGATGTAAAAGGAAGTTTAGTTTGATAAAAGAAAAGGAGTACTTGTGGCACCTTAGAAACTAACCAATTTATTTGAGCATGAGCTTTCGTGAGCTACAGCTTTTGGTAAGAACTCACTTATCAATAGACACAGCTGGGAAACCCTTATGTCTTTATAGATGTAGTTGTGAAATCCTCACTTCAGTATTGTTTTGACCAATGTCTTTAAAAACAAACAAACAAAAACTCAAAAGGGAGTGATGGGTGGAATAGCCTATCCCTTCATTATTTTGTTAACCAATTAGGCCTAATTTCTGACAGGTTTGGTCCACTGATTTACAGACCCACACTTTATTTGTTTACAACATGATCTTAACACGCTCCT